TTGGGCGTCTGCTGCTGCAGGTCCGCCATCTGGTTCCACACGCTCGTCAGCCTGCGGTTCTCCGCCTGACTGAACCAGTACGACGCCTCCCCCCCCGGCTCGGAGCACGTGTGCCCCACCTCCAGCGCATCCCCGAAACCCCCCGCCTCATCCCCGGCCTCTTCCCCGCCCGGTATGGGCCCCCCGCCCTCTGGGCTGTGGAGCTGCCTCCTGGTGGCCGGGCCGCACTCGGTGCCCTCGGAGCAGCTGTGCGCGCGCCTGGCCGCCTGCACGGCGATCATGCCCGCCTTCCCCGTCTTCATGCCCATGCGGAGGGGCTGGGCGGTGTAACACACGTGTCGTATATATACGTATCGACGTATACGATACGTAGCGACGGGGGTTCACCGATCGAAGGCGGGGACTTGGGAGGTGGTCACATGCTCTGGTGCGGTGGGGGTGGGCTGCTGAGCCGTCGGCCAGGGAAGGTTGGAAGGAATTGCATGCGTCGGGGGGGCTTCGGCAATCGTCGCCGCCAATCTGGGTGACACCAGCGTGACCCGTTTTGGGAAACTGCTGTTTGACGCTTGGTGATTTACAGTGCTTTCTAGTGCCACACTCTCAGAAAGAATTCGCAACATTAATCACAGAACGTCTTCATGGGTTACTAATAGATTTTCATAAATTACTAGTTGTGAAGATTCCTTGCGGCCTTTTGAAGATTCTGAAGTGTTTTCGAATGTTCTTACAGGATGTCAGAAATTTAAAGGGTCCTTTGCATTTCGTGGTATGCGAGCGCTTTCGCTGGGAAGATTTCCCATTTCGTGCTGGTGACTCTGTTTTTCGCTGCAATTTGTACCAATCTAATTGCTGCAAAATCTGCGAATAACATGCATTGGTTATGTAGTAATGCGGTTAGCGAAAACGCATAGATAGAATCACTCTATCAAATTTGGCACAAAACTGGCGCCACACGCGCAAGCGTTCGCTTAAATCCCCCGAAAAGAAAATATGTCGCTGATACTGATCCTCATATTATCTTCTGCTATGATTCCGCACTGGTCGGCTCATGTATTCATAGGAAAACAAACTTCTGAGTCAGTGAATATTGTAGAGTAATTTGCGCACACAGAACCTGTTTGTTCTCGTTCAACATAGAAATTTATTTTTTTGAGAGCTTAATACTGAAGCAGGCAGCTCCACACAACCTAATTTAAACTCTTTAAAAGGACAGCTCATTCCCTACCAACAGTCCGATGCACCCAATCTCCAATCAAGTCAGCACACAAATACATATTATTGGCAATCACCAACAGCATCTCGAATACTGTGAAGTGTGGTAATCAGCTCCTTTACTGAAAAGATGGGACGTGGTCTAAGTGGCGCCTTTTCGGAACTCTGTTAATCGAGCCAAGCAATGTGCATCTGAAGCCCGAGTCTCTTTCCATCATCATCCATCACTGCTTTTTTGCAGAGCAAGGCAATAAGGTAGCCGTCAGCCTCTTAATTTTCCCGAGCAAAGCAGTGTTCATCATCACCTCTTGATTTCGAATGTTAAACACAAACAATCTTTTCTTAAGCACAAGGAGATGCCACATGCAATCCGCTGATTTACTCTCTCAGCACAGGAGAGGAATGAATTGGGACGCATGGGTCTCCACGGCACCAGCGCGGTATCGCGCCGACGAGGGCAGAAGCAGCCCAACATCCACGCCTTTGGCCGCAACACCGGGATCCAAACTCTGTAGTGCCGCGCGGGACTTTCCGCACAGTTTCTTGAGGCCCCGCGGGAGGAACCGGTGGCGCCCACAGCCCCCTTCCGGCGCAAAAGGACGCGCTCGGACAAGCCGAGGTCCGCAGGTTGAACAAATGCACCCACTGGACCTGCTGCTCGTTTTCTCGCCCCAAACCTGAAAACTCGCAGCCAGCGCTCCAGGAGAGCTCCGCCTGCAGCTGTCGAGGGCGCTGGCCGGACGCTCTTGCCTCGGCGGTCAGCGGTCAGAGGCGCGTGGGACAGCCGACGTCTCTGTCGCCCTCTTGGGCCGCCGGTCGCCGGGACTCAGCCGCGTGCCCGCGCGGCCGGCCTTGACTTGGGGTCCATTTGCCCCCAGGCGCGGTACAAGGTTTCGTGAGCTCGGCGTACGGCCCCTGCGGTGTTGTGTAAAATTCCAGGACGATGATGAATTGGGCGTCTGGTTAGTTCGCTTTTGTGCTGCTGTGCGTGCCCACGGTGGCGTTGCTCGAAGTCAGTCAAGTGGATTTCGCCGTCGCAATACAGGATGACGTTCCCCTCGCCAACAGGGAGGACACTTCTTTCCATGAAGTGCTTTTGATAAACGCAGCGTGGTGATAGGGCTGATGGATTTCTGGACTTTGTCTGTGCTATACGTTGGATTTCAATGAACGGACCATGACACTGCTTTGCTCGGGCAAGCTGGAAAATGGTGGCCGCCTCCTTGCATTGGTATGTAAAATGAATGGGGTTGATGATAATCAGTTTGCATTTATGCCACTGTACGGCGTAAATTGCGTGGGGATCGCCTGGAAATTTGTCAAACCTGCGAGGGCATCGGTAGGAGATCGGTTGGGATGCGACGTGTGAGAAGTGTCAATTTTCTTGGTGATGATGATATCTGTTAGAAGGGACTAGTCCTGCAGTACTGCTCGCCCGTCGTTCGAGCACAAATTGTCTGATGGCGTTAATAAACGTCTATTTCTAGCGTCCAGCGTGCACCATTAGCCTGAGACGTACCTCAGTACATTATACCCTTCTGCATCAACAAAAAACTTGACACTACTATCTTTGCTCCTCATTTTTTGCAGACCTTTATTTAATTTTCCGCTCCGCATCATGTCCCGTGGGCTTGGGCGGTGACCAGAACCTGCAGGCCAAGGTTCAGGTTCAGCTGACCATCCCCAGCCTCATGCATGCGTGCGCTGTGCGACCCAAGCTGGGAGTCCACAGAGCGTTTAGCCGCAGAACGTTCTGCGCGTCCTGGGCCCTGGGGACGGTTCCCAAGAATCCCAGTGACGCTCTGGCGCAAGCAGAGGTGCGGGTTGGCGAAAAGTCGGGAGCAGAGCCGAGTGGGGGCGGGATTTGGCCGGCGGGGTGTGCCCGGGAACAACGGCGGGCGCTGATTGAGGCGCTGCTGGACAGCTGGCGCCACCCTCGAGTCCAGAGACCCTCGCGTTGCGGCTGGGCCCAGTTTAGCCGCGCCCAGGGCGATTTCCGGACGGCTTTTGGGTGCAGCGCGGGCATCCAACGGCGCTGCGGTTGTGGCGAACCCAGCGCCTCTTGAAACTAGACTGGGCGTTATTCTGTTGGCTGCTTCGCATTCTTTCCCGCACAGCCTAACGTAATACGCTTTTGGTTAGTGCTCCGCAAAAAGGCCAAACGTTGTTAGCGTTTGACGCACGTTGTTGGCCTTGATATACAAATGCTTCACGAAGGAACGATTCGGGCATAGTTTACATAATTTACGTCATCAAATATATTTGATGACGTTGAACATCGTCTGCAATCTGGCAGGAGATCTGGCGAACTCATCGGATGAAGCTCGACAGGTCTCCTGACAAATTGCAGATTCTCCTTCAACGAGGCCCAGTGCTTGCTTCAGCTTTGCGACTTGTGATCACGTACAATTCCTCCACATTGCTCTCCATGGCCAAGAGAAGGCCGGTTGGTTGCTGATGTCGCGCTTGAGAAACCACTAAACGGCCATTTGTAGGACCATCCTCATGTCCAGCACGCACTATCAACGGGACTGAAAGAACGCGCTGCTGCCAGCGCCGATGATGTGCGGGAGCATTAGGGACTGGTGGGCTCTGGGTACTGTTGATGCAATGCCTCGGGGTTCATCGAACAAATCACTGAACCTGTTTTGCTCAGGGCATCAGCCTAATAAGGAGTTGGCGGCCACCTCTCAAGCTGGCTTCCTGCCATCATTGCCAGCACTCTACCAAGGCGCGGTCTCGGCAAGCACTTGCAAAATATAGATTCTGGCTGCTTCAAATGAGAGCGGGCAGCTCATCGCTGCAGGGACTTGCCGAGGTGGTTGGTTGACAAAGGGGTCAAGCCTCGCCAACGAATTCAAACAAAGCCAGGCTGTGTTGAATCGAGAGTTGGCACGGGCAAGCCGCCCGCCGTCCGGACTGCGCGCCCAGTTGCTAGCCTGGTGTACCGGGCGTCGTTGCGTCAGTGGAGGTCTTGTTGCACCGGCCACGGCCATGCGCAAGAATCTTCCACGTTGATTCACGACTAGCCGCCTTGGCACCCAACGGTTGCCCCCGATGATACGTCTGGTGCAAGTTGTGTACCCCACTGCCGCTGGAACCGCAAGCCTCTTGCTGCAGGCCGCACGCTGTCTGTCTCCGCAGTAACCTATGTTCAGGTTTCTCTATCGCACTGTCAGCCGATCAACCAACAGCCTTTGCGTTAAGACCTGCCAGCAGCAATTCGATGCTGCAGAGGCGCTGCAGACCTGGCCTGCAGGCCCAACGATCCCAGCATCCTCAAAGCCCACACGTGTCTCGTACTTAAAGTCACAGCATCCCTATCATGAATTGAAAAGCCGAGGCCACAAGACTTGGGCGTGTGCTGGGATGGCACAACGGCGCAACCACCTTCACAGCAGGTCGCTGCACACTTCAAAAGCCTATCGACACAGCACAGTTGTGGCCACTGGACAGAGCACCTCAGGAGAGGCGGGCCACTGCATCCAATAGCCGCCAGTCGTCCCGTATAGTCAATGGGTCGCGCTGCGCCCTTCGTTGTGCCGGCACCCTGTCAAAAATGGCGTTCCTCACCCTTGCCTCACCTCAAAGACACCAAGTTTGTTCAGCATTAGCAGCAATCCTACAGATGCGGAAAGTGCACCGCTGGGGGGGCAAAAGATCCCCTCCCTCCAAAACCAAAAAAAGAGCGCAGGGTCTTGTGCATTCACAGCGCGATTGCCAGACCTTGCACAGCCCTGGGAACATTCAGCAGAACCGACGCCTGGCGGCACCCATGCTCTGATGCCCTATATGCTACCAGGCGTCCACAGGTCTTCCAACTGACCGGATTTCCGCCTGTGGAAAGGCCAACCCAGCGAACTCCTGCGGTTGTGGCCTGGGCTGCCAGAGGACAGCCACCAATCCTCATCAATGGGCGGTTCCTCAAACTCGCGTGTCTTCACGGCCTGCAGCTGCTCGGGCGTCAGGGCGAACTGCTGCAGCTTGGGGGTCTTGCCCGCAACGAAGTGCCCAGGGGGCACCTTTACCCACTCGGACTCAGCGTGGGTGCCGTCGATGGCAATGGGGCGGTCGGCAAAGGACACACCCTGGTCCGGGTCAGAGTGGTAGAACAGCTGCTGCCTGCCGCTTGGGCCCCTGGCGGCAAAGGCCTGCTTGGTTGCAGTGTCATATATGACGAAGGCATAGTGGCCCTGACAGGCGCAGGAAAAGAATGAGACCGGCTGGGAAATGGGTGAAGAGACCACACAAATACCATCTCGCTGGGCACTTGGCTGCAGATTGGGTGCACAGCGTTGGCACAGCTTGATACAATGTATGGGGAGAACTGGCTGTCGATTTATGTCCGGGGACATCAGTGAATCTATCAATTTCTCAAGCATTCCGTGCTCAGATCCAGTGTTCCTGGAGCGACAAGCTGCGCATGGTTCGAACAAAGGAACAGGGGCTGTGCAGACACGAAGTGAGTCAGGAGCTGAGCACTGGCTCTGCCGCAGCTCCAGCCTTGGAACTACATATTGTACACTCAACCAACATCAACTAGAGGTATGCACTACCCAAGTTGTACATGTGTCTGGTGCAGCCCATCATGCTGTGTGTGCTTGTAGCCTTTACGATTGGAATCAGACTGCTATGCCCACGCCAACCACACGGGCTCCATTGAGCACGCTGTTCGCCAAACCAGGCCCACAAGTTCCCTCTCGATTTCGACCTTGCAGGGTGCCAAATTCTCGTGCATACACTGCCACACCGCACATGATCTCCACACCAAAGCTGCCAATCACAAGTCAAGAATCGTATTGCACAGTGAGCCCCCACCCAAACTCCACAGTGGTGCGACAGGTTGTGAGCCTTACTGGCATTGTGCCAGAACGCAGGGAATGTGGAGCCAGCAACAAATGACATTCAGCAAGGCATACACCAAAGGCAGGTGCCACAACCCACCCGTGCCCAGCCAGGTGCAAACCCAGGCGCCAATGTACAAAGCTCAGCAACAAACAAGTGAGGCCTGCAGCGCATCACCAGAACAAACCCAGGTCCTCCAATCGCCTCGCCTGCTCTCAGCCAGAGACCAAGGTCTCCGAACGCAGGGGCCAAACCAAACACAAAAAACAAAACACGGCAAACACGGACACTTCTCACGGCACAGCGAAACTCCGGAGCGAGAAATCCGCGAATCTCGGCGAGCGAGAGCGCCAGGCCGCGAGTCCGCCGGCCGCCCCACCTGCAGCTCGGACAGCACCCACAGCGGGTCCCTGTCCCTGTGGTCCAAGAACATGCTGAGCAGCACCCTCGCGGCGAGCGTGCCCTCGTCTATGTTCCTCCGCACCATCTCCGCCTCGTCCCCTCCCCATCCCGCGCCCGCCAGCGCCGTCTTCCGCCCTCCCAGGCCGATGTGCAGCAGCAGATCGTCGACGTTGGACAGGTGCCCGTAGAAGACCACGACCGCGCGATCGTCCCGGTAGACATGGGGCTGGATGCAGCAGGGGCTCCCGGCGAGGCCGGCGCATCCGAAACGCACGAAGAGGCAGCCGGAGCCATGGCGGTCCAGCGAGAGGTCGAGCGGGTGGGCGGAGCTCAGGTCGCCGGTCGCGCCCGCGTGCTCCAGCGGGGACCTGTCGTCCTGCCAGCCGGGCGCCGGAGCGTCGAGCCGATCGGCCGCGTCGACCGCGGGCGGGCCGTCCGGGCCGGGGCTGGGTTCCCGATCCCTGCAGCGGCGGGCGGGGAACATTCAGCGGAGGGAGCGGCAATCAGCGACATCGCCGCACAGACGAACCCAGCACCGGGTTGGGGGCGCGTGGGCGGGTTTGGGGAAGGCTGCCCGGCAGCAGAGTCCGCCGCGCAGATCGATCGAGCGCGGCAGAAATCAGAGTCCCACCGGCACAGCCGCCTCCGGGACCGCCCCACGCAATCCCCGCCGGAGAAAGCTGTCCGGTATCGGGCGGCAACCGCCGGAAACGCAGCGACCAGGGGCGCCCTCCTGGGCGCGATTCCGCGAAGCAGGAAGCGGGAATGCGTGGCCGGCGTCTCCGGGGGCCCAACCCTGCGGCCGGGGGGCACCCACCTGGTCAGGAGCGCATCAAACCTCTTCCGCAACACCTTCTGGGCGGCCTTGGAGAAAGGCAGCCAGCCGGGCACCGTGCTCTTCCTGCACACGGACACCAACACTTCTACCCGCTCAGCCCAGGCTGCCGGTCCGCGCCCGTCCTGGCCCCCTCCCCCCTTCCTCCAAGGACGCATCGCGAATTTCCCCCCCCACCCCGCCTCCGGGGAGCGCCAGCACCGGCGCTGCCCCGAACGGGAGGCGCGAAATCTCACCTCGGCACAAAGCAGTAGAACGAGCCCTGTTGCATTCAAGGGGGTGGCGCTCGGCAAACAGGCTTGAGCCCGGTCGGTGCAGGACACCACGAGGTGCGGATGGCTGTGGGCCGGGGGTGTCCTCCAGCAGAGTGGCGAGGGGGGGCGCGCACAAAGAATAAGGCCCACCTCGAGGGCATTGGGGATATGGGAGCCCGATCCTGTCGATCCGACACGGCCAGTTAGCGTGCGCGCTACGTCAGCAACGGGAATGGGGAATAATGGGATTAATGGGAGTGTTAATGGGAATAGTTGGCGGCAGATTGCGGGCCCGCAGGGCCCGGGAGGGATCGAGAATCTGTGGCGTGGGAAGGCTGGCAAGGATTGAGGCCGTCAAATCCTGGAGGGGAATCTGGCCGTCGGGGCGCGGCACCCCTTTGCGGGACGGTACGATGGTGCGACGGCGCCGATACGGTGGCGGGAGCCCCCTGGAACCCGATGCCCCTTCCGATTGGTGTCCCCCGGTACGAGTCATTTGGCCTCACGGGGCACCAGCTTGGCGAGTACATTGTAGACGTAGGGTGCCTTTCATTATACAGCTTGGCCCCATTTATTGGTGCCGCGTACGTTACGCTTTTGACTTTCTTTTACAGTTAAGAAGTCGATTCTGTAACACGGCTTCTCTTTCTTCCACTACAGGGCAACTTTTTTGGAATGAAACAGAGCACTCATGGTAGTTGTGGCTCGTCGAGAACAAATAAGTAAAAGCTAGAGCATGTGCGGCAATTTTGCCACATAAAACATCCTAGCATTCTTTAAGATGCTCCTGATTCAATTCAGTTCTCAAAAGGACATAAGCGTTGCCGAATGGCTCGCGAAAATCTGAGATAAACTGGCTGCTTCAGACATATTCCTCAACAAAAGCAGCTACCCAGCTCTTTGGACCAATTCGGGTGACATTGCCACTTACTGCATGGTTCTAAAGACAACTGTATGCCTCCAAAGTATCTCCGATCCTTTGTGTGTCTACCACGGCAAATCGTAAACTGCAGGTTGGGTAGTCAAGCGCAAGTTCCAGTGAAATGCGGCCCACAGCTACCTTGCAAGATGGAGCAAGTTGAGATGGAGCAAATCCATCCTGCAAGATGGAGCTGTCGAGACAATGAAGCAGCGGCCAAGGCGACGGCAAAAACGATGTCCGCGGCGACCGAGAGGCGCATGCCACCGAATGGATGCAGGTCCACGAGCTGGTGAATCACGATTGGTGCCTCAGCCACTGTCTGTCTCCCCTTTGCAACGCCATACGCTACCACATGCATGTCCCAGAGTGTGCCGTTTGAGCATGTTTGGGCATCAAGGCCCGACGGCAATGGTCAAGCGACAGCCATCGCAGCAGCAAATGGCGTCCGCGCAGCGAAGAATGTTTGAGGTTCCCAACTCGTAATGGTGGGGACAGCTGGCTGTCACTGCCTCTGCCCGAACATCGCTTGTGCATTCGCCCTTCGCGCCTGCGAAATATAGCAGAAGGCCATGCCGAGATGCGGTCTGTTGCGCCACGGTTGCTTCGTGGTTGCTTCGTTGCTTCATGGTGGTGGTGGTGGTGCAGAAAGTGAGGATCAACAGCGGGTCCAGCGGCAGGTGTGCAGCCCAGGCGCGGCGTCGCGCACGGAAACACGAGCACAGAGCCGTGGAGGGGGCAGGACGCATAACCCCTGCAGATGACTTCCACCACCCCTCCTCATCGCAAGTTCGAGTCAGGCGCAGCACACGCGGAGAGCGCGCCAGCCCGCGTTCGCCACAAACAAGTCCTCCATCCCACCAGCGCCACGACCTACTCGTGATGCGTCCTAGCTGCCACCCTGCCAAGATATGAGTCCTAACGGCCAACCTGCCCCACCTGGCATCGCTATACCTCGCACACCTGGTATTCCAATCCCGCCCAAACCACACCCACGGAGCCCCTGCTCTGCGTCCCGTGTCCCTCTCCCCGGTCAGATCAGCCTCGCCCCCATGTGCTGCACGTGCCGCAGCGAGAAGAACTGGACAGCGGCGCCGGCGATGCCCATCCCCGCGAGCACCTTGACGGTGGCCAGGTCGGCCATCAGCAGGGGCACCAGGTTCATGGGCGCGAACACGAACAGCATCGTGTCCGACTGCGGCCGCCGGTCCCAGAGGTAGCGGATGAACGAGGCCTGCGTGGGGGCGGCGAGCAGGGCCAGGCAGGCGTTCCTGAGCACGAACAGGCCCGGCCTGACGCCGGGCATGAGCATCGAGTCCGGGTGCAGGACGCCGATCTGGAAGATTTGCCAAGCCGAGGAGGCGTAGAGGATCCCGGAGAGCGCCAGGGCGGGCGGGAAGTAGCGCCGGCGGTCCGTCAGCCCGCGGAAGAAGAACGGGTCCTGCTGGAGGAGCAGCAGGATTGGCGCCAGGAGGACTACCACCTCGTCCTTGTCGGGGGCGAAGTGCGGCTTGAGCAGAAGGCAGAGCGTGAAGGCCAGCAACGTGGCCAAGTTCCCCGCCGTGGGCACCCAGCCGAGCCCTTCTGCAGACAGCCGCTGCAGCATCAGCCCCGCGGCGCCGTCCATCTTCATCATCCGCCCCAGGCTGTCGACCACCTTGGGCGGCACACATCACCCTTTCACAGCATGGAAACGAGTCTTCGCGTACAGTTGCTTGGGAGGGGGTGCCCTTCGTATGACCCGCTTCTTTCTCTCTTTGCAATGGGGCAAACATTCTGGACATACCATGGATGGGGCGAGTAGAGTGTTCCTGACTTGTGAAGTCGAACCTTGGTATAAAAGGGATCCCAATTTTATGGAAAATTCTGATCTCTCTTCGCAGCAAATCTTACCTTCGGCGATACCATGGACGCGAACAGCGCGCTGAATCCCCCGGGGCTGCACATGGCCCGCCATGCTGCAGCGCCGCCGTACGGGTAGCCGTTGAATCTGCCGGCGTCGCGGCCCGTGGCGGGCAGGGAGCCGGCGTTGGATCGCATCGCGGCAGAGCCCTTGAGCTTTAGGGCGAAGGCCAGGAGCAGGGACTGGGCGGCGTAGATGGCTAGCAGGGCCGCGCGCCCCGCCTCGCGGCGCTCAGAGTCGACCTGCCGGGAGGTGGTGTCCGGGAAGAGGCGGCGCATCTCGGCGGGCAGCTTGGGCAGAGGGGATTCGGCCTGGGCAAGGGGTTTGGCGAAAGACGTCGTCAGCTGCAGTCGTCAGCAGAATGCGGCTGCGCGCGATCGCTGCGCGTCCCCCCCTCGCCAACTAACGAAGACACCTCTGGCCATGTATTACCACCGGCAAACAAATGGCTTCAATTTGAAGCCGATGAACACCGATGCAACTATTTGCTGGATCGAGAAATCCAACAGCAGGGGGGTAAGATGGCATTACAAATTAACAAGGCGAAAACCCTCCTTTTCCACCAGTATTGAAGGCGCTATAGGAGGGAGCCCTGGAATAACACAAGGCACAAAACAGGAGAGCACATTGTTGGTCCACATATCGAGCGCAGTAGTCACCCACGGTGTTCAAGCAGGGGGTTGACCATCGCGCTGGGGGCGTTTTTTGCCATTGTCAGCCCACTGGCACGTTTCTAACTCCAAGATTCGCGGTTGTCCCTTGCTCCCTTGGCTCCCACGACAAACTCACCAATTGCAGAGTCACACGCTGAGAACTGCAAACAAAGCACATCGGCACGCACATACCTGCAACAGCAGGGTGGCGGGGAACAGCGCCACCCAAGCCACTGCAAGCATGGGCATCCAGCTTGAACTGGAGGTTGTGGGCTTCTGCAGGAGCACCAAGAAGCACGTGGCCAACAAAGCCGACGCCAAGATCAGGATTTGAAGCGGCAGCTGAACTGGGAAGAACTCCATCGCGATGTAGGTGCCGACACACACGCCTCCGATGCCTTCACACCACACAAGGGGCTGCGATTAGCCCACAGTATTCGTGTTGAGCGTTGGCAAAGCCGACCTGAGTGGTGGCGACACGCCATTCACACAGCCCAAATGCCACCATAGCAAGGCTGTCCAATGAGAGGCGACGGCGGTTCTATCGCATCAGGGTGTGCAACATCCTTGGATCGTTGTCAACCGATCGTATGGCAGTGACGACCACAGGACATAACGAGACCAGTAAGCCCACAACAGGTAGCGGGGCCTCTCACACGCCAAAATGATCATTTTGCCACAGCTCAATCCGCGTTGGCATCGCTCTAAGTCGAAAAATGGCGTGCTGGCAATGGATTCTGCGTCAAATGAACCAAGTCGTAGCAAGTTGCAGGACCAAATCATTGATACTACGAAAGGTCACTAAATATCATAAAGATTGCATTTCAACCGTGTTTCCAGACCAACTTTCCTCCTGTGTTTTGCATCCATGTCAATGTCCCACGAGCGAACCTATCCCTGTGCGAACGCACTGCACCCAAGAACCAACGCACCACAAAATATTCAACCTTCCGCACAGTAACATAACGCTTGGCCTTTTTCTGCGGAGAAAAGCTAAAAAATAGCAACGCAACGCTTGGCCTTTTTTTCTGCGGAGCAACATATAAAAATTAAAAACGCTCTGAAAACAAAAATGCGGAGCAAAAAGCATAACGGTAAAATTCTCTGATGCGGAAAGGCTGAATACTCTATGGCGCTGGGACAGCGTCACAAAACCAATGGCTGTGTTGCCTGCAGGAACATGACTATGCAAGGTCAAGAAGCACCCCCCGCGCCCACCTCCGTATCCCAACCGCGTCAGCACAGACTTGTGGACCGGGACGCCGCTGGTGACGGCTGCCAGTCCCGCCAGCGCCGCAACGAGCAGCAGCCACAGCGGCCAGTGCTCCCTGCGAGCCAGGCCGGTGCCGTAGATTTCCACATCGTCCATCTCGTGCCCAGGGACATGCCTGTCGTCCCACAACCTTGGACAGAATCCAAACGGAAGGTCTGGGCACTTGGAGCCGCCCTTGATGGGAAGGGGGGGCCTGGCAAGGAGCAGACGCAGCACCAGCTGATTTTGATTAAAAGTTGCGCCAAGATGACATCTAAAGTATTGCGACT